TATTTTTAGTGTGCTAAAAACAATTCATTACAATCAATAAAGAACATTATCTGGGCCTTACAAATCTTTTCCTCAACGAACTTTCCCCCCTGAGACGTACAGCTCCTCCAAGACTGTTACGGTACAATAGTTTGTTTCTTAATTTTTTTATATTCTTGTCACAAATTTTAAATGTCTTTTTTCCTTCTCGATGTCTTCGGCATCATTGCATTTATTTTTTAAAACATTTGCCTAAATGCCCAAAAAGGTGTTATTGGTACCTGTAAAAGAATAGGTAAAAGAACATTGCCTTTTAGAAACAGGTCTATTATTCCTATAACTATAATATTATTATTATAATTATGATATAATTATTATAATTATAATATAATTAATTCATATTTTACAAGAACAAACACTTGAATAAAATTTCCAACAACTTCAACAAAATTTCTTTGTTCTTTTCAGAGGGTTTAAGCCGTAATTTTCGTTTTTCATACCTTCTAATCCTCTGTGCTTCTAATGCAAATTTACTTATACCTGAACACATTGCAAAGTGCGAACATAATCCAATTGTGTGTTTTATATTGCGGAATTCTCTTCAAACCAAGTTTTTGTCAATAATAAGGTTCAGTTAGTTATAAATGTATTTATGTGTATATTTTATAATACATTTCAAACATGTTTTACTCTTATAATGTAATAAAACATATTTAAGTATATGTAAGATAATTATAAATAATAAATAAACCTATAAAATTTAGAATCTTTACTGTCATTTAAAATTTGCTATGTTGCCAAATTGGTTCAAACTGAAATCAGTGTATATGCGTAAATCAGTTAATATATATATATATATATAAATTAACGTTTCTGCATACGGCCCTAAGATATTTGTAAGAATATTATACTATAATAAAAGAAACCAAAGTTAATTATTATAAAAACAAAATATATAATAATAAAGCATGCTCAAATAAATTATGGAAAACAATTAATGACATAACATCAGCACCTACTCATAAAATAATAAAAAATATTAAAAATTAAAAAGATTTAATTACTTTTGATGCTAAGGAGATTACTAATGTTTTTAATAAAACATTTGTTAATATGTTAAAAATTAATCAACGAATAAATTACAAACCAATTAACAAAAATCAACCAAATTCCTTTTATTTGCATAACACAAACCAACTAGAGATCCTAAAAACGCTGGAAGAACTCAAAACAAAAAAATATCCAGGGATAGATGAATTAAAAAGTGAAGTAATTTTAGAAATAAAGAATGAGATTGTAGAACCGTTAACAAATATTATAAATAAAATAATTGACACTAGTTATGTACCTTTACTTTTTAAATCATCTTTAGAAATCCCTATCTTTAAAAAAGGAGATGAAATAAATGCTGAGAATTATCGCCCAATATCCTTAATACCATGTTTTGCAAAGGTATTTTAAAAAATTATAAAAAAGAGGTTGGATAAATATATCTTAAAACATAGATTAATTTTAGACTCACAATTTGGATTTCAAATAAAAAAATCAACTCAAGATGCCATTTTATCACTGAACACAAAAATATATGATTCTTTGGACAAAGGTGAAGCTTCTCTAGCTATATTTATGGACATAGCGAAAGCTTTCGACACTATAAGCCACTCTCGTATTTTGGAAATATTAAGTAATATCGGTATTAGGGGCAAAGTTCTAGAATTATTTAAAAATTATTTAACTGGTCGAAAGCAAGCTGTTAGAATAAATGTCACTATTATCGATTTTCTTGACATTAAATGTGGTGTTTTATTTATTATTTACATGGATAATATATTTACCCGGCCACGTAAAGCAGAAATAATCCGTTTTGCAGATGACACATTATATTATAGAGATGTACCATGAGAAAACATAAGGCAAACTGTAAAAAGTGACCTTAAAATAATAAAAGACTGGTTTGATCACATGCTACTCACAATAAATTTTGAAAAAACTTCCATTTGCCTGTCAAAATAGATCCCTGCCCAATTTTAAAGAAATAACTTTTAAAACGACAAATAATCAAAACTATAATATAAAATCTGCAAGTGAAATTAGAAAGGCATAATATTTGACAATTTTTTAAAATGGGATAAACATGTTAATTATATTACTAAAAAACTCCGCTGTATATTATTACCTAAAGTAAAATTTTTAAAGCATATTCTAACAATAAAAGATTTAAAAGTAGTATACCATGCCCTTATAGAAAGCCACATAATATACGGTATAACAAGCTGGGGAGAAATTTTAAATACACATTTAGTTAATTTAGAAGTTCTACAGAGAAGAATAATAAAGATTATACTGGGCCACAACATTTTATACCCCTCAAACTTGGCATATATAGAATCCAAATTATTAGATATTAGACAATTATATTTTTAAAATGTTACTAATCGTCTATTCGAAAATAAAAACTCCTTAACAACCCCAAATCATGAGTACCAAACAAGAAATTGTAATTATTTGACACCCAAAATGAACAAATTGGGCAACGTTCATATTCATTTTTATCAGTAAAAATTGCCAACAACATTCCAAGGGAGGTACTAAATAGACCTTCAAAATATACTTTTAAAAAATATATTAAGGAATATATATTTAGTATACCAAGATAAGAAATACACAGTAAAATTGGAAAAAATTAAGCGTTATACATTTTGCTAGTTCTTAAGTTTTTATTTTACCATGTGTGTACATTTTATTATGTTATTATGTCGTTGCATTTTACTACTTGTAAATATTTATTTTTTATTAGTATTTTATTATAATCTTAATTTTTATCAATAAGTTTTAAATATTTTTTTTATTTTGATTTTTGTTGTGTATTTTATTATTGTAATTTTTGGTAAATAAAATATTATTATTATTAAAGCGTTGCTTTATTTCCTTCTAGGCAGTTTATTGATGCTGATATTGGTTGTAGAAGTTTTAATATTTTGTTTAATTTTTTCAAAAATTTGTTATCTTTTATCTTAGAACTCATAATGTCTTTCAATTTTCTTCTCTACATATGAGGCTTTCAAATTATCTTTATTATTGTCTAAACGTTCCAAAATCATAAAATAAGTACCACATCTAGTATCCACTGGAACTTTTAGTGTTCTTTGAGTTACGCCACGACCTTCCTGTATTTCTCTAAAAACCTCTTTTGGAAGATGTTTATTGTTAAAAAATTTCACAAAGTCATTGGTAGAATTAATAACTTTCTCCAATGTGGGATTTTAGCTAAGTCCTCAGCCAGTAAATTTAAACTATGTGCTAAAAAGCCATATGCCAAAATATAGGAACATTTTTTTTCAATTATAGCCCACGAATCTTTTATAGCTGCAGAATTATCTGTTACGATGCCTGAAATTTTACTGGGGCCAATTTGTTTAATTTCTTAAAGATAAATGTGCCTGAGTCTTTTATGTTTCAAGTACTGTAATAATTTCAAATATAAGATTTTTCTCTTGGCATTGTACTGTACCTATAAGTAAACCACAAAATAATTTTATTGTAATATTGTTTTTATTTTGTTTACCTTTTAAAAGGCTTTTATGCAAATGATTTGTTGCAAACGATTAATTAATTATGATGATGAGATCTTCAACAAACTAATCATTATATGTGAAAGTTGTGTCAGTTTTTAAGTTATATCTAGATTTTTTTTATTGAACCTGAATATTTAAAAAGAACTTCTCTTGTAGTGTTATAAAAATCCACATAATATACTAAATTTTGATAAAGTTTAATTTGGTGGACATGTAACATTTTATATACACACTAATGGACATGATAGAGGAATTAAAAAAAATTAAAATTTTATGTTTAAAGTTATTCTTTAAATAGATCAGAATTGATATATCATGAACGCTCTTGTTCCTGAAAATGTAATTGACAAAAAATCCCATCTATTATACCACTTGCTTTAAATTTTCTTAATGTGATATTGCCAACTAAATTAAATAACCTAGATAAAGAATGGAAACTACTTCCTAATGTACTGACAGAAATTAGTCAAGATTTTGTTACAAAACTTGTTAATTATATTAAAATTTTGCCTTACAGTAGCGCTACTGTAAAAAGAATATTTTCTGTTATTAATATTAACAAAACAAAAATAAGAAACAGGCTATCAACTAGTACCATTTTTTGTTATTTTTATTAAGAAAATTTGTATACATGTGCTCGTCTACCTGTGTAAATTTTACATACGTACCCAGACCAAACGTATACGTATGCCTAGACCCAGGGGGCCAATTTTTGAGAGTGTACGTTTAATAGATAATAATAAATCAGGCAACGTTGCAAATAGGGGTGCGTTTGAACCATCTGGGTAGTATAACCTCACTATTAAATGTATTAAAAGTATTTAGTGCATTATTATCTGTGTTATTTGGTAGTCTAATTGATGAAATTAAGTAGTTATGTCAGAAAACAAAAAAAGAGAAGTGCCAATGCTTCTGAAAACCAAAAGAAGTTACTTGTAGAAAATGTAAAGAAAAGTCCGCAATTGATTAGAGTCAAAATTATACTACAAAAGACGAAACTAAAGATTGAGAAAACATTACGAATATTTTAAATAGTACCCCAGGATCAAATAAAGATTGGAGGCGATGGCGTAAAGTAAGTTGATCTTTTTGTACTATAAATAATTATTGTGCAACACAAAGATTGTCAATAATTGTATAGATTTATGCAGCCCCTTTCTGATCCACAAATATTTTCTTTTTTTAGACATGGCATGATCTTCGCAGTAGAACAAAGTCAAAAGAGGCCATAAAAAGTTTCTATTGAGGGCCATGACCACCGTACGGGTTCGACAAATTTACGATCAATCGAATCTGCTTTTAGGATACTGCTAAAGAATACACGCCAGTGTTTGTATAAGCTTTTTTCCATACGAGTGCCTTTGTATTCGAGTAAAAATCGTACAGTTTAAGAATCGCACCCCTGGGGCCCGATCCTCGACATCACTCGCACCGTGCGTATACGACATGAAGTCAAGAGATTCATTTTCGAATGGTTTTAAAAAATGGCATCCTCGACAAATCTTTGCGATTGAAAATGTACACGACAAAATTAAAGGAGTGGTTCATCCGGCAACATCGCATGTGTTAGTTTATTTACGTTTGACATTCTCATGGACATTGTTTGTGTTATTAATCTGTTTGTGTTTAAATTGTTTGACATAGAAATATAATTTATTCAACTGTTCTATTTGTATGTAACATGATGGCCAATAAAAAAACTACACCACTGAGGAGAAAAAAATAACCATTGCAAAGTGGAAAATTTTCAATTAATTTTACGTACCAGGACGCCCAGAGAGAATAGAAGAAAATTGCGGTGATCTTTAACAGTGTTCCAGGGACAAAAACTGGAAGAATTGGCCAAAGGTAAAATAAATTTTATATTCTGATATTGCTATTTAACAATAATTTTATTTTTTTTAGACATGGCAGGATTTAAAATCCAGAACAAAAACTAAGTCTGGGAATATTATAAAGCACGAAACAGGTACAGGTGGTGGCCCTCCTTGCTTAGAAACCATGACATTAGTGGAGGATAAAGTTTTAGAGGTGATAAAGGCAGTGTCTGTCGAAGGACACCAACAGTCTAAAGAATCCCATACTAAATTTAATTTTAACATGTCTGATGGTAAATTCAATATGTCAGATGGTGAATTTGTTTTGCCAATGACAAGTCTCCCAGTTCCTTCAACATCAACTGCCCCTGTTCCTCCAACATCAACCATTCCTGTTCAACAACCCTTAAGGTCGAAAGAAACTCCGATAATGCGAAAAAACAGCACTTTCACATTAAGGAAAGTTGAAGCAAAAGAAAGGAGTGTGTTAGCTAAAGAGCGAATAGCGGCAGCCCTGGAGGCTATAGCTGACAGTATTGCATAGAATGCGTGATAACACATTCTATGCAATACTTTTGTTTTTTGAATATGATCATTTTAGTTTTCTTGTTATTTTTATTTTCAAATAAACAATATGTATATATAAAAGTTATATTTTTTCAAAATGTATTATTATATTTATATAAAATATAATTTTATTATGTTTTATTTATAATCATATAGGAATAGGAAATTATAAGTCATTTGCTTATTTGTTGTGAATACTGTTCTGGATACTTCTGAGTACCTAAGTTACTAAAAAAAGAATAGCAATGAATATGAGTTTCTAAACTAAACTTCAAACCATCCGGTTCTTCTCGACATACGTCAGCATAGCGGTAACGAGAACAACATGATAAGGAAAGAAAAAACCTTAAAATGCGGACAACGGTGATAAAAAAATGGCGCAAAAAAAAGACGATTCGTCTACAGCAAAACCAGCCTGCAAATAAAATTACAATTTGTCTAAAGCAAGACCAAGAGCAAAGCAGGTTTAAACACTAGCACAAACTATCAGCGCAACTAAAAAGTTGCGAGGAACGTTTGCAGCTTCCTCAACGTCCTACAACGCCCCAATGCCCGCTAACAGCACCATCTCATTCAATGCCATTTTTACTTTTTGATATGTTCTATACTAGCCCTATTAACTTAATGCACAATATCCGTTCATTAGGCAATGCATTCTGCCACACAATTTAAAAATCACTTCAATATGCACTGTCAACATACTGTCGTATGCGCTACTACCATAGAATGTAAATCGTATACAAAAGTAGTATACAAATTTCGTCTAGAATAAGGATAACCAAGAATTATTCAAATATGACTACATTTTGTATAGGAATTATGCTCGTATACATTCAAGAATCGCACCCCAGGTTTGGTCTGGGTACGTACGTTAAATTTACACACACAGCAACGCTGTGTTTACCTAATAATATTTTATTATCATTAGTAATTCAATAATAAGTTAATTACAAATTAGATTGTGTTGTGCTCTTATTATTTATTTTTTAAGGTAGGTATTTAGGCAAATTTTATGAAATTAGATATTGTATAATTTACCAAAATAAACCAGCTTTAAAACTTAATTTTCGAAATGTTAAAGTTGTTATAGATATATTATTATTATAATTATTTTGATGAACCTTTGCAGGTTTTTAGTATCTAGTTATTAAGTAAGAAGTTAACTTAATTAGATTTAGTTATAAAGTAGGTTAACTTATAAAAATAAAAAAATATACTTGTGTTTTCAATCCTACATTTTCTATTTTGATATAGGTACCTAAAAAATAAGTTAATAATCTCATTTTAAGCAATGAACAAGAGAAAAAATGTTCACAAGGATAGCGACGATGAAGGTTTTTCATCCCCGTCGGATGGACGAGGAGGGGGAAAAGAATAATGGTGACTCTTTAAACGAAGAGGAGGGTGGTGGTACGGACGAGAAGGGGAGGAGGAGAAAGAAGAAAAATGAAGCCTGTCAAATAATTTTGACGAAGATCATGACACGATGGACGATTTCTCCAGCGAGGAGGAAATAAGTGTAGAAATGCAGAGGGACTTCCTAAATCTGGAGTTACTTATCAATTTGTGAAGACTTGTCTAAATATGCGAATCATGGACCGGGGGGATAGGGTCCTAATATTAGCGACAGGAGCGGTAGTCGCCTGGACAGATGTTTTTGTATTTTAAAAACGGTTCTTTTCAGGACAATATTTTCACAAAAAAAAACGTTTGGTTTTATCCACAATTAAAGCTGCGTACACACTTAGCGAATGCATGGGGCCGTAGGATTACGGTAGAATATGCGCACTTCAGAACTTTACGTATCGACAAGCAAGTGAACTGGACCGCATACGAAAGCATGCATTTATCCACACTAAAAAAGCCATTTACATGTTAATATTAATTTATTATTATAATAATTTTTGTCATGTTTGCATTTTAGGACATTTTTTGAAGGTTGGCTTAAGTTGAGATTTTTTTGCATTTCACAATGCTTATTTTATTTTGTTTGTTAAAAGTAAGTGCTTTCAGTTGGTACCACTAAGGTATAAAGCACAATTTTATATTTGCAATAATATTCTTTGTAGAATATAGCTAAGCACACATTAATATCGAAAATAGGGGCAAGTCGGGTATTCCCGGTCAGATGAAAATCCGGCCAACATTAATATTTAGTATAACGAATATCTATATTTTGTGTGTCTTAAGCCGTTTTTAGAGGGAGAAACTGTTTTATCTGACCGCTAGTACATCTGCTTCCCGCGTAGAAAGGCAGAAATATCGCAGAAAGAGTAAAACGTGAATTGTGTTATATGTTTTGCCAGCTGAAAACTAAGGTAAACTCGAAAATTTCTTAACTTATGATACTGTAATAATACTTTAATTTATATTTATATATATATACATATATATATATATATATATATATATATATATATTAGGGTGTGCCAAAAAATCTCGAAATAGTTTTTTTCTTGCTCTCCACCCAAAATATGTCCGAACAAATATTCTGTTAAAAGCGGAGCTCATAATTTCAATTTTAAGAGGTCCCTCATCGAATCTGAAGTTTTGCCGCTTAAATAACACAGAAAACTGACTTTTTTACCTTATTTATTCTTGCAACCTAGGAAGATTTTTTTTTTTCATAAAATCCATGACTAATTCTTACAAAGCATTAAATTTGGACAAAAAAATCTTATTTCTATTTTCATTATTTATTTTTTACATAGCTTTAAATTTAAAGTTAATAATACAAAAAAAAAACTTTATACGCCTGTAACTTTTAGAATATTGACGATATAAAAAATTCGCCTAAAACTTTTTTGTGGTCCATCAGACAAGCTAAAAAATTGCCATTTGACTTTTTCGTCTAACTTCAATAGTTTAGCTGGAAAAAGGCAAAAAACGTAAAATTTTAAATTTAAAGCTCGGTAAAAAATCAAATAATGAAAATAGATATTCGGCTTTATAAGATTTTTTCGTCCAAGTTTAATGCTTTGTAAGATTTGGTCATGGATTTTATAAAAAAAATTCTTTCTAGGTTGCAAGAATAAATAAGGTAAAAAGGTCAGTTTTCTGTGCTATTTAAGCGGCAAAACTTCAGATTCGATGAGGGACCTCTTAAAATTGAAATTATGAGCTCCGCTTTTAACAGAATATTTGTTCGGACATATTCTACGATATTTTGGTTGGAGAGCAAGAAAAAAACTATTTCGAGTTTTTTTGGCACACCCTAATATATATATATATATATATATATATATATATATATTGTAATGGTTCCAAAAAAAAAGAAATACCCTGTATAAATTTATTAGAATGCGTGTTATGATATATTTTATTTTTCTAATTTTAAAATAGGATTAAGTAATAAAACTTTATTTTAAGGCAAATAAAATTTAATATTTAGGTAGAAAATTTGCAAGCGAAAAAGAGAGGTATGCTTGGAGCTTGAAAAAGGGCACATGTGGCGTACACATTGGGCGAGGAATTTCCACGAGAGGTAAACGAAGAAGGTTTTTGAAAAGGAGAAATGAGGGAGAAGCGTTTTGAATTTGGTGCAATACAGTTCGTTTTCTTTGGTAAAATTGTAAAAGTAAATTATTGTTCTAAAATGATTGTTAAAAGTGTTGTTAGTGTATTCTACAAGGTTAGTTCTAAATATTTAATCTATTTAAATGTGTAGTAAAATTAACTAAACGTAATATTGTGCATTTTTAAATTGTTAATATTATTATTATATGATTATTGCTATTATGAGTATATTTATCCTTTACTATTACGTTTAGCTGTATTTTACGTTTTTTAACCCTTTTCTTTTAGCTATTACCACCCCTATTCTCGCTTTTATTATTATCACTATAATTTTAATAATTTGCTATGCTCAATGCTTGTACCGCTCAAATGTAACCTTGTATTTTGTTTGTGCTTAACCCATCATTTTCTACCCTTTTGTATAACGTGGTTAAGCATTGTTTCATGATTAGTCCAAATTTATTGATGTATTGCGAAATTACTCGGTGCTTAACCAGGAGTGCTGACCGTTATTGTCCAACTTTAAGTACTCTTTGTTTGTGTGCGTGGGCCTTTGTTGTATGAACTAATATTTTTCTCCCGTGAGGGGAAACAGGTTGCCCTAGGTTCTCTAGGGTTGCATCGCTTTTCCCCGACCCTTCAACTAAAATAGGCGGGTTGCCTCCCATATTGGGACCCCGTTACATTCTGGGCATAGCCCGGCTAACGAACCCCAATATTCTTCAGTTTTAAATCTTTTTTTAAATGCAGTATCGAGCCATATCGCCAATACATTAATTTGCGTAATTTTTAAAGTACAATGCCTGACCGCGTATTCCTTTGCTACTTCATAGCCGACCAGGGTTTTTTCTCAGGCTCTTTTTCCCTGGCCGAACCCTCCTAAGAGCCACCCCTTGCTTGTTTGTAAAAAGTTAACGTAAATTAAATTGGGGTAAATTAAGCCACTGTATTTTATTTCTTATAAACCTAATTCTCCCACGTATCATTCTTAAAGCAATGCATCTAATAAAACAAGTAAGTAAACACAGCGTAGAGGTCCAAATTTGGGTAAGACGATCACGAGCCAAAGCCACAAAATAATTAATTTATTAATTTTTCATAAAACTTGTTTTAACGAACCTGGGGGTAAAGAGAAATCTTATACATGTATATAATTTATATTTATATATGTGCTGTTAAAATGCAAAAATTACGACAACATTTTAAATAGCTTGGAATTTATTTTAATAAAGCAAGAGGGGAAATACCGGCCACATCGGCCGGCATTACCCGCAACTGTTCTATTCTTACAGAGAAGTGAATAATTTTTTTATAGAATGCCGCAAAAATACCAAAGAAAAAGCGGGAAGAATATTTGGGAGGAAGATTACATGAAGAAAGCAATGGACGCTGTGAATAATCTTGGAGTACGAATGCGAAAAGCGGCAAAACAATGTTATACTGTTGCTGTAATTTTAGAAA